GTGTGTGTGTGTGTGTGTGTGTGTGTGTGTGTGTGTGTGTGTGTGTGGTCTTGGTCTTCAGAATAGTTTTACTATTTTTCCACTGACTTATAATTAACAAACAATATCATATTCGTTTAAAATGTACAACTTGGTTATTTGGTACGTATATGCTCCGCCCTATTTTTGTAAATAAAATTTTACTGGAAGACAGCCACCTTCTTTTTTGTTTTCTTGAGAGGCGAAGAGAGAGAGGTGGGGGGAGGGGGGACAGAGGGAGAGAATCTTAAGTAGGCTCCAGGCACAGTGCAGAGCCTGAGGCAGGGCTTGATCTCACAACCCTGACATCATGACCTGAGTCGAAGGCAAGAGTCGGACGCTTAACCCACTGAGCTACCCGGGCGCCCTAACAGCCACCTTCATTTGTTTACATGTTGTCTATGGCTGCTTTCATATCACAATGACAGAGTAGTTAATAAGAGATCACACAGCCTGCAAAGCCTAACATATTTACTAAATGGCCCTCTACAGAAAAGCGTTGTCCAGGGGCACCTGGATGGCTCAGTCCACAATTTCAGTGACCTGGGATCAAGCCCTCCCTGAGCAGGGAGGCTGCTTCTCCCTCTCCCAGCCCCCCCACCCCCAATTCGTGCTTGCTCTCTCTCAACTACGTAAAATCTTTTAAAGAAAAAACAAAAAAGAAAAGTGTTGTCTGGTTATAATGTGAATCTGTTAAGAAAAAATAAAGATCCAATCATCTGTTAAAATGCATTAATCCCTCAAGGCATACGTAATTTTCTTCAAGAGCACAGTACACTGAAAAATATGGTTCTATGTAACATAGGAGACTCTAAAACAAATGGAGTTACCGTTATAATGTCATTAAGTGCCAGAAAGAGAGGTTTTAAAGACTATTTTAGAAAGCAAAATGCAAAACCTCAAATTTATGATCTCTACTCTCATCAAAGTAAGAAAATATTATCACATTTACCTAAGTAAAGCATATATAACATGATCCAAATATGGAAAGAAAAAAACAACTTGCATATAAACACCAATTCCATAACCTCTCTTAACCTGTATCACTATCACCCAGGACCTCCCCAGAGCAGCTAGTCAGACCGCAAGGTTCTCTAAGATCCCTCAATATTCCATGTCACTTCTTTAGGACGTTCACTGCACCTTATATTAGAGTCATTTCTGTACTTATTTCTATTGTTAGGAAGAAGACTAATAACAGTAATAATATTAATACTACTACTACTCTGTGCTAGGCATCGTGCTAATCAGTTTACATTTAATATTCATATCACAGATAAGGAAACTAAGGAACAAAGATGTGATCTCATATTAGGATTACACAGCTGGAAGACTGTGGGAACCAGAACTCAAAGCCAGCTATTTTAGATCCTTATGTACTCTTAACCTCTACAATATACTCTGAATTGGGGAAAGAGAACAGTATTAGTCTGTGAAAACTCCCTTAGTTTAAAATACTATGCCTATGATAAGTGCCAAATGCATAGTTGTTGAATCCATATAAGGGTGTAGTAAATCGAGGATGAGAGGTCCACAGTGGAAAGAGCATTCTTTAATCAGAAGGGGCTGGGTCTTGCTTGCAGGCAACAGAGGCAGATGAGTTGTGCCCATTGTCCAGAGAGGCAACAGAAACCCTGTGATCTCCAGGTCAACAAAAGAAAACTGGAGACACTTGCCCCCTCGTCTACTACAATGACAGAAACCTGACGAGTACTACCACCAAAGGGAAACAACTCAGAAGTTAAGCATTTAATCTCAACTCTCCTGAGATCCAGTTGTGATGTCACTCTTGAAATAAATGACACTAGAAACTGTGGTCTAGTGGGGCCACCAAAACCCTAAGGAATCACCCAGGAACTGAGATTTGTCAGCTTCTCCCGCATGGTCTATATTTTTCTCTAAGAATCAATAACCTCTAAGGTCTGTTTCAGCTCCAAGACCATGACTCTCAAGAAAGGAAGCCCCCAAACAGCCAATCAACTCAGTACTTTTCATTGTTCTTCCTGCCACATCCCCCATCTATGGACCACAAGACCAGATCTCACCAAGGTCCAGCCAATGTCTATGAACCATACCAGGCCACCACAGAGCGTGCCTTAGTGGGTAGGTCACACACATGCTTACTTGCCCTAATTAGAGTCTCGGTGCCTTGCCTTCTCACGTAAGCTTTCCTTTCTCTTCTTGCCAACGTAGGTCTCTGACCTCAGCACTGTTGTTCAGATTTATATCCAGGTATAGGAACTCAAGGCTCCAACCAGCAATCCAAATAGCTTTCTCCAAATCTAAATCAACATTCAGTCAGACTCCTATTTCTGCAGCTTTTTTGTTCTTCTAATGTTCCAAAATAACAATCTTTAATTCATCTTTCCTTTAGGTCGTCAGATTTCATGGCAGTCAACCTCTGGGGCACACAACCCATTCCAAGTCAATACACAGTCCCACTGTAAGAAATTTTGGAACAAATACGACCCTAGCTTTCTCCAGTATCACCAAGAAGTACAAAATCAGAGCTGCTTTCTATCAGTAAAAAGATGTTCAGAACCTATCAAACTTTATTTGTATAAATTCACAGTTGACGATGTAGTCTTCATTAATACTTATAAAACAGGTCAACACTAGCCAGCTCTAAGTGACAAGAGGTAAAACACCTCTGCTCAGAGTAAACCCAGATCTTTGCCAAGTCCGTGACATGAAAACGTCCCCGTTAAGGTGAGAAACCTTTCAACTACTGCCAAGGTTCCATTCCCTTTTACTTGCTTCTTCACTAGCTGATCTACCTGGCATCCAGATGGCAGTGCATCATCATTCAAACCCCGAAATAAAGTGGGTATTGATCCGACTAGTAACTATCTCCCTTCTCCAAGTAAAAAAAAAAAAAAATAAATGGGGAGTAAGAGAGGAAGAAAATGGGATTTCTGTGGCAACTAAATCTAAGCAAAAATCAAAAGGCCAAAAAAGCAAATCTCTAGTCAGCCTAGGTCCAACTGCAGCAGGGAGGGGAAAAAAAAAAAATCCCCACTGGTGGCACAATCAATTTCAAGGATGCTCAACACATTTGGCGTGAACCTACATCAAGCCTCTGATCAGTAAGGAAGCTGTCAGTGTTCCCAGTCTGATTGACTGACAACATCCACGGAGCAAAAAAAAAATACAGACCAATCCTCTCTGTCATTACAGAACAGCTTCACCAGCAGAGGAACAACGGCATTGCTTTCTAAAACACACCAAACCAAGCCAAGTCAAAGTAACCGCTTAATACATGTAAGAAACAAAGGTGTAAGTACTTTATTATTCGGTAAGAGACTTCTGGCAAACTCAACCAGCCAAGGGGCAAACCTAAACTCTTTCCTCCCAGGACTGTGGGGCCTCCTTGAGGAGCCTACTTACTTACACTATGTACAGTTCCAACAAGCTGTTACCTGGCCTCCCAGCCAAAACTGCATCCCTTTTATAACTGCTATCTCTCCCTCTAGACTGCAAGTCCTTCAATGCCTGTTCATGAGTGAATCCCTAATACAGTTCCTGGCAGAGTAAGGATTCAATTACTATATGTGCTGCTCAAATAAATGAAGATCAGAAGAAGCTGTGGGGGAGGGGTCACTTGTCATTCTCAACAACAGCCATAAGCTGAATTTCAGGATGAAAGATTAGAAAGCGCCTCCAAGATCTTCTCCTTTATGTATCCAGATACTAACATTCAGTTGCTGAAAATGTGTATAGTTTTTAAACTAGTATTATTTCATTCAATAAACCAAACGATCTAAATTGTAAGTATGAGTGAGAAAAGGACCTCTGCCCTTCTACTACTAAACCTCATCCCCCCACCCCCCAGGGAGGAAAAAACACTCGCCCATTTGGGCCAGAGTCCAGGGCCCAGAGGAACCCCCCTTTTACTAGCAGGCAAGGGTCACTGTGTTAAATGTGAAGCAGGGAGTACGCCTGTCTCGCCTTCAAAAGGCACAACTGGCAAATGGACCCAGGGCTAACTCTCTGGAAATAGGTCTTCATTACAAAGGGAAAGAAAGATAATGATAAAGCTGGCGTCAAAAACCAGAACTGACAGCTGAATCACAGGATGAGAGCAAAGGATATAAAACTCAAAAATCACAGTATAAAGTTATTAGGAGTAACAGCAAACAACCCTAAACACCCGGGAGTGCTGCTAAATTTCAGCACAATATGGTAATATATTTTCACGAGGTAAAGGCAACAAAGTTTCTAAATTATCTAAAATTAATTCTTTTAAAGTTCAGTCTTCAGGCACCTGAAAATAATGTAGGTATACCCTCTCTCCCCGCTACTAAGTAATCTCTAAGGTAGAATCTAGGGACCACAGAGACAGAGCTCACAGATCACCTGAAAGATTCCTTGACCCACAAGTAGTCATTAATATACATGGTCCAGCCGTTCCAAAACCTTGCTGCACTTCTGTATTACCTGGGGAGCCTTCTAAAAATATATTCTCAATACCATCACAAATTTCCAGAGGTGGGGTCCATCATCCACGGTCTTAAAGACGTCCCAAATGATTCTAATGCATGCCAGTGTAGCATCTATCTAGAACAGGGTTTCTCAATTTCTGCACTATTAATATTTGGGGCTAGATAACTTAGGGTGCTACCCTGTGCATTACACGATGCTTAGCAGCATCCCTGGTCTCCACCCTCTAAAAGCCAGGATGCATATTGCCTACCCCTACAGGTATGACAAGCAAAAATGTCTCCAGACATTGCCAAATGTTTCTTTGGGGGCAAATCACCCCCCAACTGAGAAACATTTATGTAGAGTAAATAAAAAACCAATTACCTGAGGTTCTCTTAAGGAAAAAAAAAGAAATAAGAAAGCTGCTTAAAGCCAGGAGCCCAGGCCTATTTTTTTCAGTCCATCGCACTTAAGAAAAGTAGCTAACAAACTACTCAGCCCACATGGGGGCTCAGATATTGACTTAAGAGGAGCAAACCACAGCTTCTTGTGCTTTTTATGAAATAAACTCAATGTTGAGTTTTAGGTGAGCAGATGATCAGAAGAACTTCACTGTCACAATCATGCGCTCATCTTAGGGGTATTAAAAACACTGTAAAATTTTAGACCAATATACACTCATGCTGCCTCTCAAATATCCAAAATATAGAACTGCAAGACACAAGTTCATGATAGCAACAAACTAAATATGGATCCTGACAAATACTGTTTTAAGGGAGAGATTCTTGTATGGTAACTACCTGGAATTTAAATACAAACTTGGGGTGGGGGGAGATTTTTGCCTGTAATAAGCACATACCTTTGTACCCAATACACAAGTTATCTTAAAGAAATGAACCTCACCCTGTCAAATCTTAATTTTACCATTCATTTTCTGTCCAGCTATGGTATGATTCTCATATTCTCAAGCAGTTAATGCAAACTAGCAAGTTTTTGTTTTTACAAGTTTTACAAGTTTTGTTTTTACTTTACACAAAAGCTAACGTTTCCTGATCCAAAACAATCTTCTTCATCTCCTTAAGTTACACCAGCAGGATGCTCACCTCTACTTAAAACTGCGTAAAAACATTTCCCCAGTGCAGTTAAAGCCAGCCAGGTCCCAAGCAGTAATACCAAGGGACAGGCAAGCATAGTTTTCAAGAGTCCCAGGGAAAAGAGCATAGGGCAGGAATTAAAAGATTGTGAGTATGCGTGTGACTGAGTGGATGGCATTTTGTTAGATACCCTAGACTCCCCAATCAGACACACTGAAAGGCAAAACAGCTTCCAAAGCATCCATGCCGAACAGTTATCTCCCAAACTAGGTTCACTGAAGTATATCTCAATACACAGCAACCTCTCAAACCTCAATAACCCAGGAGTACCCTGACAAACCTTGGAATTGATATGGGGACCAAACACACTCAGGACCTAGTATATCCCAAGGGAAGTAAGAGCAGAATCTGACCGGAGCCTCTTGATGGACTTTATTTAACCACCTCTTAGAGGAAACATTCTGAGGTACCACCACTAATTCACTGCTCCACGAAACATGTGTAATTTAATGAATCTTCAACCACCCCTCTCCCGAAAAACTTAAAATAACTTCCAGTTCATTTTCTCAGCAGAACTGACTGTTAAACACACAGAGCTTTCTAAAGACAGTCACCAAGTCACCTGAACACTCATCTGACTTCCAAATAGTAGCCTAAACATTTAAAAATCAAATTTAAATTAGTAATAATTGCCACTAATTGCAATAAGCTGATTATACATGCCAGGCACCGTTTCTAGTCCATTTACTCCCGACACACTTATGAAGCAGACGCTATTATTACTGTCACATTACAGGAAAAAGCAGAGAGGTGTAGTAACTTGTCCAAGGTCACAGAGCTAGAAAGTGGCGGAGCCAAGACCTGAATCCAGGCAATCTAGCTTCACACTAAAGAAAGCGGAACCACCACCACCACCACCACTTAGGAGACATTCACGCCAGGGGCTGGAAATCCGGAGTCCCTTTCCCGCTTGCTGCCTACCTGCCACATGACCTTGAAGGCAAAATCAAAGTAAACTTCACATTGTTAAAGGTGGGACCATATCCACATTAACAAGTGCTGTGGGGACCAAAGGAAAACAATCACCAAGTGCCTCTCCCACAGAAGCAAAACATAAACAAAGCCGACCCACGGAGAAAACGTTAAGTACCGGGAGAACTACACAAAGCCTGAGGCTGAAACGTCAGGACAGGGGGATACATCCAAGGACTCATTCCGTGCACCTACAACCCAAAGTCCAACTTGTGATGAGAGCACGCAGGATCTAGCAGGAAACCCCTCCAACGCAACGGCGATTGGGCTTCTTTAAGAGGGAGGTACTTCCAGCCTCTCGAAGGACCACCCCCCTCGCTCATATTCGCCAGGGAGGCGTTCGTGACCAGGTCTACATTCGAGTCACAACACCGGAGTTAAAAAAACGCTCGGAAGGCTATTTAAATACTCCGAGCCGGGTTCTGCGTATGCCGATGACTCTG